TAGCTGTTGCCTGCATGGTTCTGAACAGCAGATTCTCTAAAATCCTTCACTACTGCTGCTTCTGAACTTAAGCTATCAGCAGCACCACCACCACATGGGAACTTCTGCAGTCTTGGGAAGATCACACTAAACTGGTTTACATTAGTTTCCACAAATGGAAGCTTGACTTCACAACCGTATGGGTTGGAACTTCATTTTTTAAATGCATGTAAATTCTGCAGAAATTGATGGCTTAGGTCCACACACTTGCTAGGGAAGCTTCCACTGGCAAGTGTTTTTTTCAAACCTCTCTCTGAAACAAAGGCATGTAACATCAGAAGATTAAGTTTATATAAGATAGTTATTTTTTTGAAGCAGTGGTTCCTGACCCTTTTTGTTGGAACTCCTAACCACCTGCACAGAAATGGCTGAATGGCATCCCTCATCCCACCTCCCTGTGTATCCCCTCGCACTGTCACCATTGTCCTTTTATTCTTGACCATTTTCCTTCTTCTGTCCTAAATGTGATTTTTTTTTCTTTTCTGAGTAACTATTCTGAAGGATTCCTCCTTCACCAATTTACCAAAAGACTATATGCTGCAAGGCTAGAGGTGAGGCACCAATCGTGGCCCTATTTGGCATATGCTTTCCCAGTTGAGTCATGCTTTCCCAGTGGAGTCACAGAAGACAAAACTGCATCTCTCTGCTACCTGAGCCTAAAGTCCGATACATGTGAGCTGCTAATATGGTTGTCTCAAAGGCCTCTGTGGAACAGTAGGAGTCAATGGGTAGTTTCGATGGAGCCATCCATTACTTCACCCACAGCTGTGAACACATTTCTAGTGTACAGGGGAGAGGATCCACAAGCTATCCTCACCCACAATGTTCCTCTTCTCTGGCCTATGCCAGCCTGCTCTAGCCCTGGCTTGAGGTCACTCTCAAGCTGTTTAACACTGTGAAATTTGTATGAATTTAGTGATGGTGAAGAGCTGACAGGCCTCAAGACTGCAGTTCATTATTCATGCAAAGAACAGAGATACAACCATAGCATCCATGCAACTTTTCTCATCACTGCTCCACTACTGTTTCTCAAACTTTCCTTGAAAGAGCCACCTCTCTAGGTCAGAGACAAGTTCAGTCTCCGGGTGATGTTCATTCTTTTTCATCTTTCTACCAAAACTCCAAACAACAAAAGTTTGTTTACATTTGTTTTATTTCCCAACATCCCAAAAACTTCTCCTATGAAGTTACCAGTTAATGGCCCAGTACCTGCATCCGCTTCAGATATATATATGCTTAAGAATATTTAGCCAAGATACCCAACTGGATGACCCTCCTTATGTGATTTATAATATATACTGTACAGAAATATATCACATCACCAATGACTGTTAAGATTACAAAAAATTAAGAAGACAGGAAGTCTTTTGAACCAGGGCCGGCTCCAGCATTTCTGCCGCCCCGAGCAAAACAAAACAAAAAAACAAAAAAACAAACAAACAAAAAAAGCCGCAATCGCGACCGGCGGCGGCAATTGGGGAAAAAAAAAAGCCGCGATCGGCAGCGGCAGTTCGGCAGCAGGTCCTTCGCTCCTAGAGGGAGTGAGGGACCTTCTGCCCCTGAATTGCCACACATGCCGCCCCTCTCCCTTGGCCGCCCCAAGCACCTGCTTGTTAAGCTGGTGCCTGGAGCCAGCCCTGTTTTGAACAAAGTCCACTCCACAGGGCACAAGAAGTGGAGTCTAACTTCCATGCCCTTTTTGAAGCTCTCATGCACTTCAATTAATGCCAGGTATAGTATTTATCTTTGGGGTTCCTCTTGGGATGTTCAGACACTCTACCTCACTACCATTTCTGGGCTCCTAACCTCAAGTAATCTCCCACCAATTGAGATCCCCAGGTTCACCACTGAGGCTCAGTGGAAACTAATGAATGTATATTAATAAATTCCCACAGTAGCCCATCTCAACCCTCTATGGGCATACTATACTAGAGGGTCTGGAGAGAGAGGGGACCTGATTGTATTTATCTCCCCCTAATTGGTCTCCTAGCATCTGAAATACCATGAGAAAATTAACTGTTCCTTTAAGTATATTCCACTTACTCCTGCAGTTTGTGGTGTACCTATAGGCATAGGCCACCTGAACCCGCAAAGTGACAAGCATCAGCAACTGAGTGACACTTTTCCCATGGAGCCAGCATCAGGGACTAAATCCAGGGGATTAAAACATTTTAGAGCAATCTTTCTCCACCTTTTAGCAGCCTACATAGCCCTCAGACCTTCACCTTCAAAACAGAACATGCTAACACCTTTCACTAGCGAGTAAGACTAACTATGAGAAAGGACTTTACAAATGATCTCTTTCCAGGGCCTGGATGAAAGTAGCCACCATTCTACAGCGCAGACATTTACCCTCTGCCCCACAGCCTAGTCCAAATTGATGCCAAGGTTTCCATGGATCCTTAGATTATCCCGGGGGAAAGAGAGGAGGTTGTACCGTAATTAGCACCTGTATCCAGGGCTCTAGAGTTTCTGTTGTCACCCCCACCTCCCGCAGGGTGCCCCACCACCCCACGCTAATTTCACCCCATGCCACCCCCAGGTGCCGGGCTACTCTCTACCAACACCCGCTGCCCCCCTCCCCCCACATGCGCTATGCCCGGGGGTCTCTCCCGCGGCCCCAGAAGCCAATCGGGACCCCATCCCCGCACGGGGAGGCGGGTCCGAGGCCTCCCCCGGCAGGGCGGAGCGAGCTCCGGCCGGCCCCGGCGGGGGGACAGTGGCGCCCAGCCGTGTGCTCCGAGCGGGGAGCCCGAGCCCAGGCCCCGGCCCTGCCTCCCGCTCAGCTGCGTACCTGGTCCAGGTTCTCCTCGCTGCCGCTGTCCTCGGTGTCGGAGTCGATGAGGACCCGGCCTTTCCGCTTCTTCACCATGGCGGGGCCGGCTCCGCCGCGCTGAGGGGCCCGCGGACGGTGCGGCACTGAGAGCGGCTCGGCCTCCCCCGCGCCGCCCGACCGCCCTGGACACAAAGGGCACCGAGCATGCGCCCCGCGCCGCCCCGCCCTCCGGGGCGGGGCCTCCGCAGCCACTGGCGGAGGGGGGCGGGGCCTGGGCCGGGTGCACGTGCCGGCGGAGGGCTGCTGGGACGCGGTGTCACCCGTGGGCCCGGGGTGTCTGTCACCGCCGCGCCGCGCCTGCCGCCACGACCCCTCGGCGCCCCGGGCCGCCCATACGCTGCAGCTCGTGGCTACCGGGTGACTGCGGCCGACAGGGATTGCGGAGAAATATGTTCTCCTCCGTTTTCCAGCGCGGGCTGGGGTCTCAGTGCATCTGGCAGCGCTCTGAGCGCACACACGTTCACTGCCGCCCCGGAGAGTCAGGCCGGTTGCCCCCGTGTCGGGGTGGGGCTTTCATACAGCAACTGGGGAGAGAAAACATTTAAAACACGGGAAAAGGTGACTCTGAAGTCTCCAAACTGCGGGGGAGGGGCGTTTGTGTGTGTGTAATATACAAAAATAATTTGAACTGAGGCTTGTAATTGACTAAATAGCAAAGTAAGCACCGACACCTTGGGCAAAGCCCCATTGACGTCAGCAGGGCTCCTTAGGGGTGCAAAAGTCATGATGCAGAGCTTGTTTCAGGATTAGGGCTCAAGGGCTCGATCCTGCTTCCACTGAAATATTGAAGTCAGCGATCTAACTCCGACGGACTTCACTGGTGCAGGATCAGGCCCGAAATGAGGACAGACTGTATCCTGTTGTTTTTATATTATAACTGAATGGGTTCAGTCATGAGAGCGGGTTTGCAGCACGCTTTATAAAATAACCGTTTAATAAGTAAAGGTATAGAGAATTGCAGCTTCATGACCACACAGACATCAAAACAGTCAGCTAGCTGTACGTATGAGAGTACAGCCTGAAGTTTTTACCTAGCTTGTACTTGGGCAAATTTCCCATTGACTTCAGAGAGATTTGACTTAGGGAAGTGCTCAGATACCATACCATGGTGATAGGTACCATATAAGAAATATTATAGAATTCAAGATTTGTCCCTGGAGAATAGAATATAATCTTCTTTTCTAAAAACACAGATTACATACTTCGTCCCTGATTCTGCATGAGGCTCTGCGCAGGCACAAGATACACTTGTATGGAGCTCATTGTCTCTGTAATTGTCAAGACACTTTCTTAGCTGTACATAACTTTAGATAAGGACTAACGGTTGTAATTAATAATTATTTTTGTAGTCAAGACAAAAGTCTTCAATAAATGATAGTTAAGATTGTAAATCAGTATCTATAATCTAAGGGGGTTCCATTAAAATACCATTGATATTGGAAAGCCATGAACATTTAAGGTAATGTTTAACCCCCCCCCCCAAAAAAAAACGAATGTTGAGATGTATCAATGATATAGTTAAGGTACTCTAAACAGCCTTAACTCTGACCTTCCCTAACACAACAGAGTATCATCGTTACTCTGGATACTTTCAATGTACAGTGGTATACATTAGCCTGTACTATACTAAGTATCACACGCCTAACTAGTTAACAGTTCATATAATGAAAAAAAAATCCTTAATGCTGTTCATAGCATACAGAAAAAAAAACTTTTGATGTTCCAATAAAACTACATGTAAAAATTAAATAATACTTTGCACTTATAAATTTCATTTAAAAAATTTCAGCTGAGGATCTCAAAACACTTTGCAAGCATTAATGATTTTACCTTAACAACCTCTTTGTGGCGTAGGAAACGTTTAAGAGAAACCTGACGCACACCGGTGACTTGCTCAATGTTTATCACACCTGGAGACAGTGATACAGTTGGGACTAAAAACCAGGAATCCTGATCCCAAGTCCTTGCTCAAACCAGTAGGTGATGCTGCCTCCTGGCAGAGGGATCTGTATCCTGGAGGGACACACACACACTAGGGAACCCAGCAGCAGACAATGACGTGCAGGCTGAGCGGGGAATGCGGTGGGTGTAACTGTGAGCACTGAGGTTCCAAGTGCCTCGCTGAGTCCCACATGAAGCTAGACCGCCAAAGCGTTGCAACGCCTCAGGGGGGTGCGGAACCTTTGCGACGCGGCCAGAGTTCCCCTGACGGGGACTGAATTCGGCGGACCCGGTCGCTAGAGGTTGAGCGGCCTGCGGTGAGGGGGGAGCTTGCGGTCTCTGCCGTCAGGTGAGGCGGGGGGGAGCGTGGCGGAGCGTGGCTGTCCCACGGCGGGCTCACTCGGGAGCAGCGGGGGGCTAAGCTACCCCCGGGGAGTGGGGCTGGTCTATGGGGAGGAGGTTCCTGACTCTGGCATCGGCCCGTCTCTCCTCAGCAGCGATCAGCGCCCCCAGCCTGGTGTTCCCCAATGAGCTGGTCTGGGCGCTCACCCTCGCAGATGTGTCTTGCTGCAGCTGGGCGCCATGTGATTGTGACAATCACCGTGTCGTGACACGATGCTGCCGAGCTAGCCCTAGAGTAGCGTCCAGGGCCGCTGTAATCATGCCTGGGAGGGTCGGCCCCTCAAAGGTAAATGGCGGAGCTCCTTTGTGCTATTTGGGCATAAGCTTTCGTGGGCTGAAACCCACTTCATCGGATGCATCGGGTTTTAGCCCACGAAAGCTTATATCCAGCTAATTTGTTAGTCTCTAAAGTGCCACCAGTACTCCCGTTCTTTTTGGTACAGACTAACACGGCTACCACTCTGAAACCTTTGTGCTATGTGTCGTGTCCCCCTGCCCTCACACATCAAGGGGGTTAGAAAAAGCAACCCTTCAATTAGGGCAGTGCTTAAAACGCATATGAGTGCAGAGGGGAGCATGGTGGGAGTGCTTGTGTGTTAAGGGTGAGTGAATGCATGGGAATTATTCAGCTATGGATGCATTTGTATAGTCACAAAATGCTGCATTCCTATGAAATGCTGCAGATTCAGTAGAACTCCAGCTCTTCAAATGTCTTTGAGGACTCCTGAAGACTGGGCAGTGAGGTGCCTGCTGAGGCAAACTTTAAAGGTAACCTGCAAAGAAGAATAATTGGGCTTTTGCTCTGATTTGCTTTTCTGTGATCTATATAAAAAAGGGCTGAATTTTTTTTTTTTTTACGGTTAGTTTTCTCACTTTTCCCCTTCCCTGCTTGTGTTTTACTTTAGAAATCTGGGTTCTGCTTCCACTGAAAAGTCTATGATGACCAGCAAACTAGTGAAATGGTATCATCACAAAGGTCAAAAGAGTAAAAACTGAGCCCTTTAGAGAAGGGGTTTTTAGCCATACTGTTGAAACTCTCTTTTGAGTTGTTTTAACATCTGTGATAAATTAACATTTTGGAAAAAGGATGTCTTTGCTAAAGAGTAAAAGAGCCCTCCACTAATATATGTGCTGAAATCTGATGTTACTTATAAAAATGTATGCAATAATTTCTACTTAACTGACTCAATTGAAGTTCTATAACAGTTAAGTTTTATGAGTACTCTGTCTCTTAGATCAGTGTTTACATGCGTTTAAAGTGGAGATCAGAACTGTCATGTAATTTATAGAATGAATAGTAAACTTGCCCATCACTCCCTCTCCAAAGCCTATGTGGGGCCAGGATAAATTTATGTTTGAGCCTGGCCTATTAATCTTCACTGCACTTCGGAAGGGCTGAGGGCTGCATAACATTCCCAGGACTGTCAATTCTCTTTTAGTTAGTAACTGTATTTTTACTTCATCCCTAGCCAGCAGGGAACTGCAAAACTTGAGCGCTTTCCTTGCCAGCCATTCTGATTGAATAGTAGTGTTTATGTTTATGGGGTGGGAATTCCTTGTCATGAAAATGATTTTAGGCTACAATATGTATTCCCTTGGTCTGTCAAGAAGCAAACATGGGACATGAGAATAAAAAACGGCTACTCACCTTTGTAACTGTTGTTCTTTGAGATGTGTTGCTCATATCCATTCTAATTAGGTGTGCGCACGCTGCATGCACTATTGTCGGAGAATTTTCTACCCCAGCAACACCCGGTGGGTCGGCTGGGGAGCCTCCAGGAGTGGCGCCTTCATAGCGCTGTATATATACCCCAGCCGACCCAGCGCCCCCTCAGTTCCTTCTTGCCGGCTACTCCGACAGTGGGGAAGGGGGACGGGTTTGGAATGGATATGAGCAACACATTTCGAAGAACAACAGTTACAAAGGTGAGTAGCCATTTTTTCTTCTTTGAGTGCTTGCTCATATCGATTCCAATTAGGTGACTACCAAGCTTTCCTAGGTGGTGGGGTTGGAGTGAGACATCGCTGAGTGCAGAACCACTGATCCAAATGCAGCATCGTCTCTAGACTGCTGTCCAAATGCATAGTGAGCGGCAAAGGAGTGAACCGATGACCAAACCGCCGCTCTACAAATGTCATGGATCGGGACGTGAGCCAGGAAGGCAGTTGAGGAGGCTTGAGCCCTTGTGGAATGGGCGGTGAGGTGCAGCGTCGGGGCACCGGCCAAGTCGTAGCAAGCACGAATACAGGACGTGATCCAAGAGGAGATACGTTGCGAGGAGACCGGTAGGCCTTTCATTCGGTCAGCCACTGCAATGAAGAGTTGAGGCGTCTTCCTAAACAGCTCCGTACGCTCGACATAGAAAGCAAGGGCCCTGCGTACATCCAAGGAGTGCATACGCTAGTCTTGTCGCGTAGCGTGTGGCTTAGGATGGAAGACCGGGAGAAATATATCCTGGTTCACATGAAAAGCTGATACCACCTTGGGAAGAAAGGCAGGGTGGGGGCAAAGCTGTACCTTGTCTTTATGGAAGACTGTATACAGAGGTTCGGACGTGAGGGCTCTGATTTCAGAAACACGCCTTGCTAAAGTGATGGCTACAAGGAAGCCTGTCTTCCAAGATAGGTAAAGGAGAGAGCAGGTAGCCAATGGCTCGAACGGGGGCCCTGTGAGCTTGGAGAGAACCAGGTTAAGATCCCACGCCGGAACCGGTTGACGCAGCTGTGGGTATAGGCGGTCTAAGCCCTTGAGGAATCTGACGACCATCGGGTTAGAGAAGACCGAGGAAGCGTGTTCTCCTGGGTGGAACGCCGATATAGCAGCCAGGTGCACCCTGACCGAAGATATCGCCAGGCCCTGCTGTTTTAGGGATAGGAGATATTCAAGTATAAGTGGGATCGACGCCCGCAAGGGGGGCGTGGCTCGCTGGTTGCACCAACAGGAGAAGCGCTTCCATTTGGCCAAGTAAGTGGCCCATGTAGAGGGTTTCCTGCTGCCCAACAGAACCTGCTGCACGGGATGCGAGCATCGTAGCTCCGCCCGAGTTAGCCATGCAGCATCCACGCTGTAAGGTGGAGCGATTGCAGGTTGGGGTGACAGAGTCGGCCGTGGTCCTAAGAGATCAAGTCCAGGCACAGTGGAAGCGTGATCGGAGTCTGTACCGACAGCTCCAGGAGTGTGGTGTACCAGTGCTGTCTTGGCCAAGCTGGAGCGACTCGAATCATACGTGTCTTGTCTCTGCGTCGCTTGAGCAGGACCTTGTGGACCAGCGGAAATGGAGGGAAAGCGTAGAACAGCTGGTCCTTCCACGGTAGCAGGAAAGCGTCTGACAGGGAGCCCAGAGATCGCCCCTGGAGGGAGCAGAACACGTGGCACTTCCTGTTGGCGTGTGAGGAGAATAGGTCGATCTGGGGAAATCCCCACCTCCAGAAGATGGAGTGGATGATATCTGGGCGAATCGACCACTCGTGTGTTTGGAAGGACCTGCTGAGACGGTCTGCTAGAGTGTTCTGGACTCCAGGGAGGAACGATGCCATGAGATGTATTGAGTGGGCAATGCAAAATTCCCACAGGCGAATGGCCTCCTGGCATAGATGAGACAATTGGGCTCCCCCTTGCTTGTTGATGTAGAACATGGCAGTGGTGTTGTCTGTGAGGACTGCCACGTAATGGCCATGTAGGAGACCGTGAAACGCCTGACAGACTAGGCGCACTGCCATCCGCTCTCGAACATTGATGTGCAGAGCTAGCTCGGATGCGGTCCACAGGCCCTGCGTTTGGCGCTCTCCGAGGTGAGCGCCCCAGCCGAGAGATGTTGCGTCCGTGACCAGGTACAGGGAGGGTTGTGGGGTGTGAAACGGCACTCCTTCGCACACCGACTTGTGGTTCAGCCACCAGTTGAGAGAGATCAAGACCGAATTCGGAACCATGACCACCATGTTGAGGCTGTCCCGACAAGGACGGTACACCGATGACACCCAGGCCTGAAGCGGGCGGAGCCGAAGTCTGGCATGCCTGGTTAGGGAAGTGCAAGAAGCCATGTGTCCCAACAGGCCGAGGCACTTCCTTATTGTGGAAGTCGGGAAGCCCTGGAGGCTGCGGATGATGTTTGCAATGGTCTGAAACCGAGTGTCTGGCAGAAGAGTGCGGGCGAGTCTGGAGTCTAAGACTGCCCCGATAAACTCTATTCTCTGGGTTGGCTCCAGAGTAGACTTTTCTTTGTTGAGTAAGATGCCCAACTTGTGGAATGTTTGTAGTGTGATTTGGACGTGGGATTGAACCTGTTCCCGATGTGGCTGCGCACCAGCCAGTCGTCTAGATACGGGAACACCTGTATCCTTTGTCGATGAAGGTATGCTGCCACGACGGCCATACGTTTGGTGAACACTCTCGGAGCCGTGGACAAGCTGAAGGGAAGGACAGCAAATTGGTAGTGTACGTTGTTTACTACAAATTGAAGGAAGCGCCGGTGCGGAGGGTAGATTGCTATATAAAAATATGCGTCCTTCATGTCGAGGGCGGCGTACCAGTCTCCAGGATCCAGGGAAGGGATAATGGTCCCCAACGAGACCATGCGGAACTTCAACTTTACTATGAATTTGTTGAGTCCACGTAAATCTAAAATGGGTCGAAGACCCCCCTTTGTCTTGGGGATCAGGAAGTAGCAGGAGTAAAACCCCCTGCCCCTTAACTCTGATGGAACCTCCTCTATAGCCCCCATAGAAAGGAGCGTAAAAACCTCCTGTTTAAGGAGTTGCTCATGAGAAGGGTCCCTGAAGAGGGACGGGGGGTGGGACGGGGGACAAAGAGAACTGGAGAGCGTATTCCCCCTTCCACCGTGCGAAGAACCCAACGGTCCGAAGTTATAAGGGACCAAGCATGGTGGAAATGAGATAGGTGATCCCGAAATAAAGGGAATGGATCCTGGGTGATGGCTAGTACGCTGTCCTCGAGCGCACCTTCAAAAATTTTGTCTAGGCCCTGAAGGTAGTCTAGGAGGCCTTGGTTCTGACCGGGTTGGGGGCCGGTCGACCTCCTTCTACCACCTCGTCCACACCTTCTGGGGAAGTCCTGTCTTGGATGAGGAGGAGAAGGGTAGAACCTCTGGGGCTGGGGCCTAAAGGGCCTGCGCTGGGGTCCTGGGACATGCATCCCCAGGGAGCGCATGATGGTTACAGAGTCTTTTAGGCTCTGCAACCGAGAGTCCGTCTTGTCCGAGAACAGCCCCTGACCATCAAATGGCAGATCCTGTAGGGTCTGTTGCAGTTCTGGCAGCAAACCAGACACCTGGAGCCAGGAAATGCATCTTATGGCTATACCTGACGCCAGTGTCCTAGCGGCAGAGTCCGCTATGTCTAGCGAGGCCTGTAAGGAGGTCCTAGCCACCTTTTTACCTTCCTCTACTAGGGCCCCAAACTCCTCTCTCGAGTCCTGGGGGACCAACTCCTTAAATTTACCCATGGAGTTCCATGAGTTGTAATCGTAGCGGCTCAAGAGCACCTGTTGGTTTGCGGCTCTGAGCTGCAGACCTCCCGCTGAGTAGCTCTTGCATCTGAACAAATTGAACCGCTTGGCATCCTTCGATTTGGGCGCTGCCGCCTGTTGACCATGGCGCTCTCTTGCGTTCACTGAGGAGACCACTAGTGAACACGGGTGAGGGTGGGTGTAGAGATACTCATGGTCTTTAGAGGGGACAAAGTATTTCCTCTCTGCCCCTCTGGCAGTGGGTGGGATGGAGGCAGGGGTTTGCCATATGGTGTTGGCGTTA